GTGTGTCTATACTCGTATATTTTTCTTTTAATGGCTTCTCACTAATATATCTTAACCTCGGCATTTAACCCGATTTGTATATTAGTTTTTCTTTATTATCTTTGGCTCTCCAGGCTGCCGTGAGCTTGTGCACCGTAATGTCTCGCGCCTTTTGCCAGCAGCATGTCGTGACCTTGCCGATTGGCAAGCTTCCACACGGTCAAAGGCAGCCGGATTAATTCCTTGTTTGCTACTCCATCTAGAGACTGCGAACACACAGTACACCCAGATTTCACTCTCCGGGCTTGCAACTGGTATTGCTGATGCCATTTTGCGAGCCGCGTCCTCTGCTTCGACAACAATCGGATCGACTGGCAGTACTGGGATTGGACATGCCATGCCACTGCTCCTCATTAGGCTGCTTGATACGCTATCGGTGGCCCGTCGGGAACCTAACTGTAAAGAGACAGTTGATCCGCTTTATTCGACGCTGGCCACCTCCACAGCTGTTCGTAAGGCCGAAGTCGACGAGGCCGTTCATATTATTCACGACCTCTCTAGGGCCAGCTTCATTTTAGGCTACTTCGTCGAGCCAAAGGTGACTGCCTATTTGTTTTATTTTAATAATTTTTTTTTGCTTTTGCAGAATCATGTTGGCTTACTAAGATGTAGTATCATAATTTCCACACCGATAAGGTTGGCTTGCTTATTCTCTTGTGTTAAAAGTGAATATTCACCATGAAGCTTATATGCATACTAACCCTGAAAATCCCTGACTTATTAAATACATTTCTTCGCAAAGTATATAACATTTTCCGGACTAACTCTAACTTGGATTTATTATTTCAATTTGCTCTAGTCAATGAAAGCTTCAATTTGAAGATGTGATACATGGTCTATTTTTGGAAACAACATTTTCATGTTATTTATTTAACGTTACCGACTTTCCTTATTTGATTCGTCTTAAGGTATTTTATCTCAATCATCGACTTAACCGTCTAAAATGCATTTTAGACTATTATTTAGCCCTAATGCAAATAAACTAGAACTTTTTTTTCCAGATCTGGTGGACCTTGCTTCATTCTGGCCTATCTCGATGTCATGATTCTACAAACTCGGCCAGCTTGTCAGGCCACCTCTTCGTGTTAGCAGCTCTCCTATCCAACTGTAAAACTGTCTCCTTGTTTGATCAGCTGCCTGTCAAAGAAAACTTATCATGTTCATCCAAGCATCCTGGGGCTTCCCCAAAGCCCGTCTTATCTCCTGACAACGACATTCCCTACATTCCATCGCCAGAACCTTCATTATTATCATCATCTACTTGTACCAATACAGTTCCTGTTATCAGTTTGGCAGGACAAATCACTATTTATCTATCCTCAGAAGAGATGATTTCTAGCTTATCCCCAGCGGTGAAGACGGCGCTTCTTGATTGTCTGGAGCAGATTTTGACTCATCTCTTGACCCACCTTGAGGCTGGCCATCTTTCAGAACAAATGACTGCTGAAGTAACTCATACCTTTATAATTTAAAACATGTTTGAAATTCTAACGTTTAGTTTAATTCTTTTAAAATCGCCGAACTCTACTCACTTTGCCCATAGTATCTCACTAGTGAGAGAATTTTGAAGAGGGTGAAACTCATTTTGAATAGGGCTCGGATTATCAAATTAGACAAGCTGCCGAAAAGCGCTAAGCCAGTTGTGGCATTTGCTCGTATTCCTAAACGAGCTCCAAATCGCAGTCCATTTTGGAGGATAAGTAAGGATTAAACTATGGATGTAAGATTGCCAAACAATGCACTAATTACAGCCGGAAAGAAG